GGCTGGAGGACGAGGGCGTGTTGGCCGTGTCGGTGGAGCCCCTGGCAGGACACACGCCCACCACTCGGGTCTGGCTCACCTCGTCTGCCCACGCCAACATCAATCAACTTGTGATGTACAAGAAGCACGAGGTGAGGCCAAGAGGCAAATGATCGGTATTTAGCATTAAGTGCCTGATACAATAATGTTCAGATACAACCAACGAGGCTCATATAATGCTCTTCATAGTAACATATCGCATTTGTTATAACAGAATAATAACAAAAAATAACAACAATACATTTAGAGCAAACATGGGCAGTGTTCTCTTGCCAATGTGCAATTCTATAGGGAAACACATTTTTATTTTAAGATTTTTTAATCATATGCAGTCATTAAACTCTCCTATGGGACAGCTGAGCCAAGCCGCAGGAGTGGCTATAAGAGACGTGGGTGTGGTTACTTGCAACCAGAGCAGCCACCAGGCCGTCGACGGGGTGGGCAGGTGTGTGAGCGGGTGTTGGGTGACCCTGGGTCAAGGGTACACTGTCGTGGACGCCAACACCTCGGCCCTAGTGGGACCCAGCATGGTGGTCCACACTGCCTGTGGTTGTGGACACACTACACCTGCTACCCACGACACCTGCACCCCCTACACCTGTCTTAATGGTGGCAGATGCATTGCAACCTCCACAGGTACCAGGTGAGTGGTCAGATCCTGCCCACACTACAGTTTATAATATAGTCATATTAACAATAGTTTGTTCATAACCTTAGTAGTGATGATCAGGTCCTATATGAAGTACGTGGATAAAGCATATACAGCGTTTCGATTCGCACACAAGTCATCGCCGAAGTACTGTTCGAGAAATACTGGAACGCCATCAGTTGCAAGTCGTTTGTAAAGTTTTTCAATAATGAGCAGAGGATTGACTGCCTGAGCACTGGTCGAGTGTGACGAGTTCGGCCCTGCTAGTGGATGGTTGTGCTCTAGGTTGGGGGCCCGTGGGCCGTGGAAGACGGTTGGATGGCGCCTGTGGGACGCCCCCTGACCATTGAAATAGAATTTATTGGGAATGTGACTTACTCCTTGATGTAAGTGGTGTGGTCTTGCTGAACGTCATATGTGTGGTGGTGACCGAGATTACGGGAGTGCAGCTGGCTGGTGGGCACCGTGCTTTGGTGCAGTTCCGTAACGATGTGATCTTCCAGAGGATTGTGCGAAAATTTGATGAAGTTACTTTTCAGTTGCCTTATGGTGCGGGTTCAGTGCATGTGTCGGATCGCTGCGGGTCTACGAAATGGGTTGTTGTGCAGGGCCTGCCTTTCGGGTTCCAGGAGGGATTAGTACGTCGGTTTTTCCAGCGTTATGGCCGCGTCTTACACTATCGTGGGAACGTCACCAAGTCAGGGCGTCTGAAGGGCCTCCTCGACGGGACACGCACACTTACAGTGAAAGTGCACTCAGATATCCCCTCGTCCATGGTGTTAATGGAGGTCCCAGTCTAGTGTTTTTATGCCGGGCAGCAACGCACTGGTTTCCGGTGCGGGTGGCCAGATCATGTGGTGTGGAATGCCGCTCTAAGCATTCCCGTGTGGATGGTGGGAGCACCGTGGAGGGGTCTGTTGAGCTCTCTGCAGACCAGATGGATGATGGTTGTGTTGTGCCTCTATCTGAGGAGCTGCCTGGCGGCCCAACGTCTGTCTCGGAGGCAGTGTGGGGTGTGCTTGCCCAGGAGCCTTGCGTCGAGGGCTAGCCTGCTCATGAAGTTGTTTAAGGGGTCTGAGGCTGTGCCTCCAGTTGCGGCTGCCCCGCGGATGAGTATGAGTGGTGCGTGTACTATTGGTGCTCCTGTGAAGGGGATGTCGGTTGCTCCTGACTAACAGAGGAGAGCTTTGAGGATTCTGTGGACCTCTTTCGCCATGGCTTCATCTCTGATTTGTGCGTCGCTCAATGTAAATGAGCTGCGGGCGGTGGCCATGCAACTGGGGCCGGTATCGATGTTGTGTGATTTTTGTGTGGATGTCGCTTTTCTGCAAGAACATAAGGTGAAGGATGTGTGTCTGTTGCCGGTGTTGGATGAATGTTTTCAGGTAATTTTGATCCTGTCACGGTCTGTGGTAGGGGGTACGCTCGTCCTCCTTTTTCGGAGGGCATCTATTTCCGTGCCTCACATGGAAATGGATGAGGATGGTCGAGTTTTGTATCTTGGAGTGGAGGTCTCCTTGTTGAACGTTTACGCCCCGTCTGGGTCGGCGTGAGTGGGAGGTTATCCTTTCTCACTGTTTGTTGCATTTTTAGCGGCATGATACGAGTGAGTTGATTCTTGTGGGGGGGGGGGGGGGTGGATTTTAATTGTATCACGTCGGCGCTTGATAGTAAGTCTTCGCACGGCGAAAGTCTCCTCTGCTCTATCCACGACTTTGCATAGTTGCGGGTTGCGGGATGCGGCAGTGATGCTTGGGAGAGAGGGGGGGGTGAGTTGGATTTCACGTTTGTGGCGCGTGGGTCTTGTTCGCGTCTTAACCAGTTTTACGTCCATAAGGATGAGAGGTAAGTTTTTTTCTTTTCAGACGCTTCCGATGAGTTTTCCCGGTCATTGTTTGATTGCTCTGCGGGTTGGAGTTAGGAGTCAGGTGCGTGTAGGTCGGGGCTGGTGGAAGCTCAAATGTGGGCTGCTCGGGTGTCCAGGGGTTGGTGATTTGTTTCAAGAGAGATGGGCTTTGCTGGCTGCTCGGAAGGGTGGGTTTCCCTCTGTTTTGGAGTGGTGGAAATTGTGCAAGGGGAAGTGTCATGCTTTTTTTTTGTTGTGTTTGCGAAACGGGTGGCGGTGGCGCGTTTTGGGTTGGTGCGCTTTTTACAGGCGTGGTTTAATCGTCTGTATGAGTTCGTTAACGGGGGTTTGGATCGGTCTGAGGATATCTTCTTGTGTAACCACAGCTTCGCTGGTTGCGGGAGGAAATTGTGGAGGATGTTCGTGTTTGGGCTGGGGGTGAGGAACGCTTGTGTTGCTGTCCTCGTATTTGTTGCGACGGGAAAAGGCGGGTCATACCTCTGTTTTGTTGTCTACCCTCCATCGGCCGGATGGGTCGGTGTTGTCGAACACGGATGCAGTCTTACTTTATGTGCGCAGTGAACTTGAGGCTTTGTATGGGTGGGTCGAGGGGGATGAGGGATTGCGTGAGTTTTTTCTTCAACACTGTACTCCCGACCTGTCTGTTGTGGAGTCTTTGGCTCTTGAGGGGGAGGTTGGTCTGTCTGAGCTTTGGGGGTGTCGTCAGTTCTTTTCGTCGGGGGAAGGTTCTAGGTTCAGATGGCCTTTCTGTGGAGTTTTAAGTCATGTTCTGGGATGTGATTGGGTCGATTTTTTGGGAGGTTGTTCGTTTCTGTTTGAACCGTGGAACGCTGTTTGGTTCGCAAAATGAGGGTCTTGTTCGGCTTCTTCCAAAGCCGGGGGATATGCGTTTTCTCACGAATTGCCGGCCAATCACGCAGCTCAACGTTGACTATAACTTATTTCTAAACTGTTGATGGGGCACCTTCGGGCTGTGGTGAGGTCGGTAGTCTCGGTTGGGCAGTTTTGTTGCGGTCCCTGGTAAGTCTTTGGTACAGTGCAATTCCCTCTTTCGGGATGTGCTTTTGTATCTGTCGGGGTCGGGCGCGTAGGCCACGATGTTCAGCCTGGATGGGTCAAAGGCTTTTGATAGGGTGCCGATCGGGTTTGTTTTACAGGTGTTGGAGCGATTGGGTTCCCTCCCCCGCTTTGTTGGGTGGGCTCGGATATTGTATGTGGGTTGATGTAGTAGGGTGTGTGTCAATGGGTTCTTTAGTTCCCCGTTTGCGATACGACGATCGGTTCGGCAGGGTTACCCTCTTTCTATGCATCTGCATGTGGTGTTCCAGGAGCCTTTTTTGTGCAGTGCAGGCGAGTCGTTTGGTGATCGCACCTTGTTTGCCGAATGATTTGGTTTTGAAGGTTTGTGGGTATGTGGATGACACTGTCCTGTTTGTCGTCTCTGAGAGTTTTGTTCCTGTGGTGTAGGGTCTCCTGCGTGGTTTTGAGTTGACCACTGGAGCTGTTGTTAATAGGGACAAATCGTGCCTAATGGGGTTGGGTGGGGTGGGCAACTCGTTTGGTATGGGGTTGGTCCTGGTTTCTTGTTGTGTGATCTTTGTCTTTTAATTGGGATGCGGTCTTGCTGGAGGTGGTCAGTGGGTTTGCTTTCTAAGCGAGCTCTCTCGATTTATCAATGAGCGATTATTGTAACTTGTAAGGTTTTGTCGCGGGTCTGGTTTATCGCACAGTCTTTCCTGATGGACCGGTGACGTGTGCGCAATATTGTGTGTGTGGTTTATAGGTAAGTCTGGGGTGGGCGGAATCACCCATTTCGTCGGTCTTCCTTGTGTTTGTGGGTGAGGTTGGGATTCCGGATGTGTTTAAGTCTTTAGCCTAGTTCTGGGTGTTGCTTTGTAGGGGGCTTGGGTTGGGGGATGGTTTAAACTCCCTCGTTCATTATTTTTGTTCGGTGAGTTTCAGCTTTTTGGTGGACCTTGAGGTATGTCGGGATGTTGTTCTGGTTACCAATTCCGTATACTCTTGGGCAGTCATGATTGTGCAGGCACTTTGTCGGTTCCCACGGGGGTTAATGTCTTTTGGTTGTAGGGAGGTGTATGGGGCTCTTTTTTTCTCAAGTGGTTTCCAGGGTGGAGGGTCTGTATCCTTGTTTCGATTGTGGGGCTATTTGGTCCGTGTTCCGTGGAACATGTATTGCCCCAGGTCTCGGGAGTTGGTTTTTCGTTTGTTGCAGGAGACGTTGCCCACAAATGCGTGTTTGTTTATGTTGGGGTTGGTGGGCTCGGATGGATGTGCACGTTGTATTCACCTAGTTGTGTTTGCGGGGGTTGAGCTTTGCTGTTTCGGCCCGCCTCTCAACTGTCAATCAACTGTTTACTAACTACATTATTTTCTTTTTCTCTACACTACACACCCCAGGAAGCAGCCCGTGACAGCTGACTAACTCCCAGGTACCTATTTACGGCAAGGTAACAGGGGCATTCAGGGTGAAAGAAACTTTGCCCATTTGTTCCTGCCTGGTGCGGGAATCGAACCCGCGCCACAGAATTACGAGTCCTGCGCGCTATCCACCAGGCTACCAGGCCCCCAGTATGTTGTGGGGAGTGTGAAACGCAATTGCATGTGTTTTATTTTTGCCCGCTAATTCAGGATTTGGTTGACTTGTTGCGGGACACTGTGGAGGCTTTCTATAGTCCTGACGTGCGGGTCGACTTGTTGCTTTTTTTCCGCAGGGTTCACGTCGGGTTCAGAATACACTGAGTGTCTTGATGGTCGATTATATCTTTTGTTCGTGGGTCGGTAGGATGAAGGGGTACGAGGCAGGTCGAGCCTTCTGGTTTTTGCTGGGGCGTTTGTGCTTCACGATGTGGTAATTGTGGCGGGCTTTTCCATGGGTGTTTGCAATGTGGTTTATGCGCAGGCATATCAAGGAAGCTGCTGTGGTATAGGGGTTGGGTTGAGGTGGGTACGGGTGTGTGTCTGCTTTCATGGTATGCGTGTGCGTGTTCCTTGGGTGTTGTTGTGTTTGGGTGTGCTGTTGTGGGTGTTTGGTTGTGTGTATGTCTTGTGTTTTTTTGTCTTTTGTTGGTGTGTTTTGTCGATTTTGCTTGGGTGTGTGTTTCTGTTGCAGCCGTGCTTTTGGCTGCATTATGTTTGGCCTGGGCTGATTCTTATGTGATGTTGTGGGCTCCTCCTCAGGTTGTTGGGGGATCGGGTCCCTGTGCGTGTTGATGTGTGTGTTTTTTCTTCTGCCTGTGTGGGATTGGCCCCGTTGGTTGGGTGATAGTGTTATATTATATGTATTATATGTCATATTATATGTATATTTTGTATGTTTCCATTTGATACATTATGCTGTAATGTCCTTATTTTCTATGTTCTGTGACCTGTGATGTATCCCATGGTGTTTCAGGGCCTTCCGGTATGTGTTGCCGTTGTAGGCGGCTACCCTGTGTGTGTTCTTGTGTAACTTTTTGTGTGTGATGGGTTTCCTGTATTGGGTTTCTGTCAAGTTTCTCTCCTATAGTGGTGGGTTTGTGTGTTTTCTGTATACGCTTACTGTGTATTTTTGTGGATTTTCCTGTTTTGGTATCTTATGTATTGTTGTTACATGTATTATTGTTTCCATGTTAATGTTAATGTGTGTTTAACGATTTGCTTACTTTTTCTCTGGTTTGTAATGTTTTATTATTAATAAAAAAATGTAAACATGGTATTAACAGCTCATAACAAGGACATATTTGTCGCAGTGTTGGGCGATCTGTTTCCTTACTCTCCCAAGAATCTACAAATTTTATTTTTTATTTATTCCAGCTTATTTCTACACTTTGTCTAAGATTCAATATTATTTATAAAATTACTAGAGCCACAGCGATGGTTGTAAACTGTTGATAATAGAGCCACCGGTCAACAGTTTGCGTTCTGCAGTGCATGAAAGAGTTTACCATTAAAAATATTGATAGTAGTTTGTGCAATATATTTATTGCTTAGTGCTTCATAAGTTATACTTATTACTATATATAAATACTTAGTTCAATATAGAAATATTTTCTTAGCACTTTGTGAAAATTACTTGGTCAGAAAAATTCAAGTCACGCCTGAACTTTGTATGAACGAACATGTTTTGTCGATGTTTGATTTTCAGTGTAACCCTGAGTACTGTTTCTCACAGGTGTATTTGTCCACACGGAACCTGGGGCTCCCGTTGTAAGGTCATCGTCAGGCACTTCGAGGGGGGCGGGGGAGAGCAAGACGAAGGAGGAGGAACCCGTGACATCTCTGTGGGCGGGTGGGCGTGGGTGCCGCCCATCCCACCCTGTGCCGAAGTCCACATGAGTCTGGAGGTGCTGACCAGATCCATGGCGGCCACGCTGCTGTATTCAGGACCGGACCAGGGGGCACCAACCCCAGGGACCGAGGAGAGCCCCGCAAGGGACCTGTTGCTGTTGGAGCTGCGTCAGGGCCGTCCGTCTCTCCTGCTGGACCTGGGGGACGGCCCTGTCACCCTCGACCTCAACGCCTCCTACTCCCTGGCAGACAACACCTGGCACAGGATCGACCTCATATGGAGAGTGGAGGTGAGGAAATCCATACTGCAACGTCACTCCATTAATTCAATAGGAAGATTCATAATAATGAACAGGTACATTGCAAACTGACACTATCATAACTGAGGTAAAAGCTTGCGAGGCATCAGAACATCGTCTGCACCCTCTCATACTCGAGTAGTTTATAATCACGATAAACAGCACAGAGAATATTACTGTAGAAATATATTTATCTTTGCAGGTGAGGGAGGAAGGACTGCCTGCTCTAACCGGATGTGTCATAGTGTCAGGTGCAGCTAACTACAATGTCCTTCACTTACAGGCAGTGGCTGATTGATTGTTCAGTGTTTGTTGATGGACCTAAATGCTAATAGTAATGACTTTTATCTGGCTTCCTTCCTCAGTGATTTCTTGCTTTTCCTGCTTCCCGAGTGGATCCATCCCTTGTCTATTTTTTCCCAATGGCTCCTTCATTTTTTTCCCTGCGGTGTTTTACCTTTCCTGCTTTCAGCAGTGGCTCGTCCATCTCCTACAGGATGCCTCACCCTCTAAAGTGGCTCTTTCAATTTCCTCCTCAGTGCCTCCTTTCTCTTCTACCTCCCGCAGTAGCTCCTTCCCATTCCTGCCTCCAACAGCGGCTCCTCTTCCTTGCGCCATTATTAGCTCATCTCGCTCTCTACCTGTGAGTGTGACTATGCCCCTCTGCCTCCCCAGTTAGTGGAGATGATTGTGGACTTGTGCACGGGCGGCGGCCTGGACGAGCCGCCAACACCGCCCACTAGTCCCGCCCACAACCATTCCGCCCCACACACCCAGCCTGACGCCCGCGCCTGCAGGGGTACCGCTAAACTGCCAGGAGTCGCCCACGCCTTCAATACCGGCGGGCCACTGCAGTTGGGCGGGCTGGCTCAGCCACTCCCCACCCACACCGCCAATGGAAACCCTCCACCCATCCGCCCACCTCACCTTCGAGGATGCATCAGGAACCTCAGACTCAACGGCCAGGTGAGGACGAGCTCACTTGAACACAAATTGGCAGAAAATCTGTTGACAAATAAATATTTTTATTAACTCTGTAATGCAATGCAGAGTTGTTAGTTGATTGGTTTCGAACTAAACTTCCCACTTAAGACATTTTGTTAGTATAAATTAGTAAACGTGTTGAGATATTGAAAATTAAATATAGACGTTATAGAAAATGTGTCGTCTGTAGGAGGTTAATAAGATCTGACCAAGATACACAACGCTAGCACCTTTAACATGAAATGAGGTTTGGTTAGGTTGAGACGAGGACATAAAAGTGAGGAACTAAATGTACTACAATTTGGGTTTTGCTAAGTATCAATTTTGACAGCAAGATTAAAATTCTGTGTATTTCTCCGTTTTGTTCGTATGCATCAATGCAGCATTGGAACAGCTTGAAATCCTTATCTTACAACTTGAAACATCAGATTTGCCTCAGCAGACAGACAGGCGGTGTTAATATGGACATTCACGAGCAGGGATGATGAGACTAATTACAGCTTCACAATGGCATTCAAGGAAATTTGGTAAATGCTTGTCAGAAGGTAATAAAGACACTGAAGAAGTCAGATATAAGTATCTGACTTGCTGCTGCTTTCCAGTATTCTCAGACCCACTTCGTATACGGCTGACGAACACAAACAAAACATTGCCGTCCGTGCAATCAACTCCGGGGGTTGATTGCACGAATAGCAGCTGCTGACAATTCTGCAAAATGTTTGTTCAAAAAGTTAGTCAGTGTTAGTTATCCACATCTTAGACACTGTAGAGCTATTACGTAGAGGCTGTAATATAAGTAAGTTTATAGTAAGGTTGTTGCCTGGCTATATGCCAAGAGTCTATGAAAGCTTACAGGTTACTGAGACAAAAATAGTTTCCCCAGGAATATCGATATTTCTCAGATTTTTTATCGACCTGACCGGCCTTGGTGTTATCTATGAAAATTTATGCGGGTCTCCTCAATTATATTGTCAATATTTCTTCAGGGTAATGGAATGTTATGTGTGTCTTGTGCTTCACAATGTATTCATTAAATCACTTGTAGCATGATTCCGCCCTAGCACCATCCTCATCACTGAGATGATCTGGCCATGTTGGTCGTTGTAGTGGTCATCTCATCACTCGTGTGAAGCTGGAGTACACGACAACTCACAAGTAGAACCTTTATACATTTTATAATGAAATAAGACAGGAAGACGGTGAGATTATATCCTTCCCTAGACTTCCTTGTAATGCAAGACTATAAACACACATGTTTATAATCTACATAAAATCAATATACCAGCATCCCGTCTTCAGGCAATGGTCGTCCATCCGGCTGTCAACCACAAACACGCATTCATCAATATTAACAAACTTTTCATTCAAAATAGTAACTTTTCGCAAATAAAATATCGAATATTAGCATATTGTGCATATTTAGGCGTAGATTAGGTGTTTAGGTCGTGTTGAATATTTTTGTTTTTTTTTGTTTTTAGACAACTCGGTAGTACTATGAGGTGGTGTTTGAAAAGAGTTGGCCGTGGCGCGTTGTCGAGGGAGGGCGGTCCTTGTCAGTGGTTGATTGGCGAGACCGCACTTGGCTCCTCGTCTCTGTTATGTCCCGGTGTATGGCAGGCGCATAATCACTGGAATAGCTTCCAATGATTAAATGACTCCGTTACAACGTTCGTCGTCTGCTGGCTCGAAAATTTTCATGTCTTGTGCACTATGCTGTTGAGCACCGCGTTAATGTGCTTTGCCTCAGTCAGGATGATCTACAGGGAATTTGCAGTTAAATTGGCCGGGTGGTGGTCAGATTTAATGTGGACGATGCCTTCCGAGTGCTTATGGACTAGCTCGAGGATCAGGTGTTTTCCACGCCTAATGGAAAGGATGACGGATGGATATCGGACATGATCAATGTGTACTCGTTCGTATTAGTGCGTGATGCACTGCTTAAAATTAATGACAGTGATTGTTATTACTGCCACAGTATGGTACAGTGACTAGTGAGCGCGTGAGAAAGTTTACGTCCTGCCCAGCGAAGGGTCACTTCAATGAATATCGCACTGAGCATGCACAGTTGTCAACAAATGTTCCGTCTTCTCTCAGTCATGGGCTATGCCCTATAGTTTACTGTAAGCTTGGATAGCACTAAACCTGCTTTAAGTGCGGATTTAAAGGCCATCATACTGCGACTTGCTGTGTGAGGGCGGAAGATAGGGTCTATGAAGAAAGTGACTCCCACGTTGAGCACTTGTGGTCCTCGTTACACACGTTTATAGTCTGTTTGTTTATAGTCTATTCTGGTCTATATACACCAGTCTCCGTGGTGTAGTGGTAGGATGCTCGCCTGGCGTTCCACGAGCACTTTGTCATACCTGGTTGATACCTGGTTGATGGGGTTCTGAGAGTTCTTCTACTCCCCAAGCCCGGCCGAGGCCAGGCTCGACTTGTGAGAGTTTGGTCTATCAGGCTGTTGCTTGGAGCGGCCCGCAGGCCCACATACCCACCACAGCCCGGTTGGTCCGGCACTCCTTGGAGGAATAAATCTAGTTTCCTCTTGAAAATGTCAACGGTTGTTCCGGCAATATTTCTTATGCTTGCTGGGAGGACGTTGAACAACCGCGGACCTCTGATGTTTATACAGTGTTCTCTGATTGTGCCTATGACAACTCTGCTCTTCACTGGTTCTATTCTACATTTTCTTCCATGTCGTTCACTCCAGTACGTTGTTATTTTACTGTGTAGATTTGGTACTTGGCCCTCCAGTATCTTCCAGGTGTATATTATTTGATATCTCTCTCGTCTTCTTTCTAGTGAGTACATTTGGAGGGCTTTGAGACGATCCCAATAATTTAGGTGCTTTATTGCGTCTATGCGTGCCGTATATGTTCTCTGTATTCCCTCTATTTCAGCAATCTCTCCTGCTCTGAAGGGGGAAGTGAGTACTGAGCAGTACTCAAGACGGGACAACACAAGTGACTTGAAGAGTACAACCATTGTGATGGGATCCCTGGATTTGAAAGTTCTCGTAATCCATCCTATCATTTTTCTGGCTGTCGCAATATTTGCTTGGTTATGCTCCTTAAACGTTAGGTCGTCAGACATCATTATTCCCAAATCCTTTACATGCTGTTTTCCTACTATGGGTACATTTGATTGTGTTTTGTACTCTATTATGTTTAAGGTCCTCATTTGTACCGTACCTGAGTACCTGGAGTTTATCACTGTTAAACATCATGTTATTTTCTGATGCCCAGTCGAAAACTTTATTAATATCAGCTTGAAGTTTTTCAATGTCCTCAGCCGAGGTAATTTTCATACTGATTTTTGTGTCATCTGCAAAGGATGATACGAAGCTGTGACTTGTATTTTTGTCTATATCTGATATGAGAATAAGGAAAAGCAGCGGTGCAAGGACTGTACCCTGAGGTACAGAGCTTTTCACTGCACTTGGACTAGATTTTATATGGTTGACAGTTACTCGCTGAGTCTTGTTTGACAGAAAACTGAGTATCCAGCGTCCTACTTTACCGGTTATTCCCATTGACTTCATTTTGTGTGCTATCACGCCATGGTCACATTTATCGAAAGCCTTTGCGAAGTCCGTGTATATCACATCAGCATTCTGTTTCTCTTCTAATGCCTCAGTGACTTTGTCGTAGTGCTCAAGTAGCTGTGAGAGGCACGATCTTCCCGCTCGAAATCCATGTTGGCCTGGGTTGTGAAGGTCATTGGTCTCCATGAAATTGGTGACCTGACTCCTAATCACTCTCTCAAATACTTTTATGATGTGCGATGTTAGTGCAACTGGTCTATAATTCTTTGCCAATGCTTTGCTCCCTCCCTTGTGTAGAGGGGCTATGTCTGCTACTTTAAGTGCATCTGGTATCTCCCCCGTGTCCAAGCTCTTCCTCCACACTATACTGAGTGCCTGTGCTACCGGCACTTTGCATTTCATTATAAATATTGAATTCCATGAGTCTGGACCTGGGGCCGAGTGCATGGGCATGTTTTCAATTTCTTTTTCAAAATTTAGTGTGCTCGTGTTTATATCAGTTATATTTACAGGGGTTTGAATATCCCACATAAAGAAATTGTCTGGATCTTCCACCTTCACGTTGTTTATTGGAGTGCTAAACATGTCCTCATACTGCTTTTTTAGGATTTCACTAATTTCTTTGTCATCCTCCGCGTATGAACCTTCACTTGTACGAATAGGTCCAATACTGGCAGTGGTTTTTGCTTTTGATTTCGCATATGAGAAGAAATATTTTGGATTTTTCTTTATTTCCTGAATTGCTTTCTGTTCTAACTGCCTTTCTTCAGTTTCATATGAGTGTTTCAATTTCCGCTCGATTTCTTCAATCTCCCTATTTAAATATAAAATGGGGTCATGGGATCGTATCTTGGCCAGGGAGGATTTACTGGGCGCAAATTCTTAACTGTAGCTTCTGTTTACTCAACAGTAAAATGGGTACTTGGTTGTAAAAAAAATTCTTCGTGAGGGTCATATTCCAGGGACCTGCCCGAAACGTTACGCGTACTAGTGGCTGTACAAGAATGTAACAACTCTTGTATATTTCTCAATATAAAGCCACACTACCTGCAATTCGCCTTCAGGCAATGCTCTGAGGTCAACTCCAAAGATGTAATCATTTGGTGTAATACTGTTCATTCAAAAAAGTATTTTTCTCATATATAAAATATTAAAAATTTGTATATTGTACATATTTAGGCATATGTTAGGTCTGGTTTGGTGTTTTGTTGGCATATTTTTGTAATTGTCACTCTGTCCTCGGGCCAGGCTCGTTAAAGGGGAGTCCGTCCCACAAGACGTATTCAATAAATTAAACTAATTATTTATTACAAATAAGTTTACATGTAAATAAAATTATATTATCATATTAAAGTGTTATGTATAGATTGATGTACGATAGGTTAAGTTACGTGTTTCGGTTCTGTTGGCGATTATTTGTGCAAGAAGAACGTGAGTGAAGCATTTCAGTAGTTGCGATTCGAACAGAGGTCGTCAGCGAAGCGCTGCTCGAGGAATGTTGGAAGGCCATCAGTGAGTCGTGTGTAAACAGTTTTCATTCATAAACAATGGGCTACGCAGCAGAATTAGCAAGCATTTGGCTTATTGATGAGGACGGGCTGCAACAAGAGCTACCTTGATCACATTGTCTTTAATAGCTATTATTAAATTAACGAGGCATAGAGACAAGATTATTTTGCCGTATATTTAGGATTTGTAGCTTTTAGTTCTTTGCAGATGGGTACTGACAGATCCCAGATTCTTTTCTTAATCTTAAACACATAACATTATTGATAAAGGAGAATTGAGCGAGTAAAATAAATCAACAACAGCGACCTCAACAAAACGGATCAAGGTGATGAACAGTGCCAGAGTTCATATAACATTTATTCATCCAATTAAGAAACCTGTACATTTTTTAACAATCATGTCGCCTTTATTTACATGGATTAAACACTTCACGAAGTTTGAAACAAAAATATTAAATGTAAACTAAGCCTCGATGATTGAAGAAAGAGGTAGAAGTTTTGTCAGTGGACGCCTAATGAATCCTTACCCTGGTCACTCACCTGGACAGACGGAGAATAACTGCAAAAAATGTCAATGAATATCTGGTGCACAAACATGGCACAGCACCCTTGTCACAAGCAGAAGCCGCAGCACCAGGATCACCACTGCTGTCATGTACACCATGTGGTATTGTACTCTCCTAGTTGTACTTGCGAGGGGCAAGTACAACTAGGAGAGTACAATACCACGCTTGAGTTTCGGTTCTTTTTGTTCCGCCTGTCAGCTCTCAGTCAACTGATGTACACGTTCCTGAGACTTTTGGGTTCTTATCATATCTACATTTGAAAGTGTGAATGGATTCTGCCTCCTCCTTGTTAATTACCCTTGATACTGAAAAAAATATTTCTAATGTCTGAGTAATTTGAGTACTAAGTTTCCACCTGTGTATGTGACATTGTATATGAGTAAGTATACTCAGGAGAAACTTCAATATGATTGCTAATTATGATTCATTATGATTCTGATATGATTAATTAATATCCCACATTCTTCGCCCTAAAGAAGAAGCAATCTCTGAGTATGTTAAATCTGATAAAATGCTTCAAAGATAAATGAGTTCAATATAGAGTTTACTCTGATCTTCCTGCTTCTTCATCGCTGTCGGCAGCGTCGTGCAGTGTACAACAATTAACGTTACATAATTTCAAGAAATAAGAATATATATACCGAAATATTTTTGGAACATTTGTATCTAAGAGCCAGGAACAACGCTATGAACAACCTGGATGTTTGCCAGCGATATATTTCCCGTTGTAAAAGCGACGCATGAGTTTACTTACTAAATTTATGCGCCAAACCCATTGCTCGCGTGAGCAAACTTCCTGTCTTAGAGCGGCCATTAGTGTCGTCCGATCTAAATCTTGGCAGACTTACGGGTGTTGGATGGACAAACACTCACACACACACACACAATGATAACTCAGCTTGCGTGCATGAACTGCATGAGCTGTTGTAGTGCTAAGCCATAGACACACAACTCGTGTTTTTCTTAAAACACGAGTTGTTTTTCAGCCTCAGGTTTTTCTTAAAACACGCTCCTGTTGTTGGGTGTAATTGATGAAAAGTTGTATACAACCAAAGTTTAGAAGACATAATTGAGTACAAAACTACTCATAGCTGGGAAACAGTCATGCAAGTTCTTCCAATGATCTGTCAATCGAATTCTTGTGTTGTTCCAGCAGCTGGTGGACCTGGGCGGCGGCGTCCTCGGCCAGGGCAGTTACCCCGGGTGTCCTGCCGCAGACTGCCTCTCCAGCGGCGTCTACTGCGGCCTCCACGGCAGGTCAGTCCTCTATGTGTTCACCAAGATGTACTTGCCATGATGTGCTTACAGGGTCGAGCTAGGCTCCTGGCCCAGCCTCCGAACGTTCTAAGATTGATAATCATTTCTCACGCTTTATTATATTTTCATTTAAAATTTTAAATCGAATTATCGTCAACAACTTAGAAGTTTAAACAGTTTTGTCTAATGACACTCGAACGCTTAAAATGTTTTTTTTCTGACATCTGTGACTCATCTGCGTCTCTAAATTACATCTGTCACCCTCGTTCTGCTGTGCCTACCTATGAACAATATTACTTTCTCTACCTTGTCATTTTCTCTTATAATCTTACGCATTGTTATGCCCCCTGTCTCTATCATCCAGTAAGGTAAGGTCCAGTTCTCTAAGCCTTTCCTCATAGCACAATCCTTTCAGCTTCGGAACGAGTCTTGCTGCACATCTTCGCATCTTTTCAAGTTTCTCCTTCCATTTTTTCTAGTAAGGGTTTGCTGGGGATGGAAATTGAATTGTCTCGATTTCGCTGTAAGTGTCACCCGGAAAGCCCCTTTGTTCAAGTTCCTAAAAGTTAAATTCTTCTAATGGACGTCTGGCATCATGTTTGGTGGTAATGTCCTAGTAGTACAGTGGGGTTCGTTCTCGATTCATAGTCCAGAATTCCCGTTTCGAGTCCCGGACGGGAGAGAAATGTGCAAGTTCTCTCACCAAAATATGGTAATCTCTTCTCAGGGCAGTAGTTATCAGATTTGGTGAGCGAGTAGGAGGTTATTGCCTAATTCTTACACCTCTTCCCAGGACGCCTGTCTTGATGTCATAACAGCAGGTACAGTGGTCATTCTCGCTTCCCGGGCTATTCATGCCCATGCCACCTCTTGGGTTGCTTAATCTCAACCATCAATCATTCTCGCTCACTGCTGAAGAGGGTCCCCGGTTTGGGACCGAAATATACAGTCAACGATTCTTTGTGTTTTCAAAATAGTCGTTATTATTTTCTTATGTATCAGTTTGTATGTATGTATATAGATATAGATATTGGTGTACACTGGCAGCAGATTTTCTTTTATGCGTGTCTTATTGAATATGACAGCATATTCCGTATTTACTATTTTCTGATTTAGGGCTTCTATCCCTCTTACTAATGCTCTTGCATCAGGTTCAGCTGGAAGAGGAGTTCACCAAAAGTCATGTTTTTTAGGTGAAGAAAAGAATTTAATAACTGAAGAATATATTACACTAATTATAAAATCGCACAACGTTTCGAACCGCCATGGTTCATTCTCAAAGGAAAATAAATTACAGAACTCGTTAATTTATACCAGTAAGGGGTCAGGTGATAAAACAAGTACAATAAAGAAAAAGGCAAGGGGATACACTGGGGATAAACAGGAGATAAATGGGGAACGAAGCACATTCAAAGATTACTCAGGTGTAATAGACCTGTTATGTTGAGCAATGTCTTTTGTGTTGGCATCGTTATGTTCCGGTCTTGTCCTTACTCTCATGGTGAGTAGAGTAAATAGTTCCGTTGTTTGGGTGTTCAAGGTAGGTTGTTCTATTCTTATGTGAATTGCTTCAAGAATTTGTAATCTTTTTACATCTTGGGTTTTGTCTATTATACAGGTATTTTTGTTCAACATTTCTCTTGTTAGGGTGATGTCATGGGCTTGTGTCATGTAATTCCTGGAGGCACCGGATTGAAGATGACAGGTCAAACGCCTCGTCAGTTTGGTCGACGTCATACCTATGTACTTAGATTGAAGGTTACATCCTTCGTGGGGGCAAGTGTACATGTATACAACGCTTGACTGCTGTAGAGGGTTCTCCGTCGGCTAATGGCTGTTTTTGATAAGGAGTTCGGAAGTCTTCTTGGTTTTGTAGAATACGATCATGTCTATGTTTTGGTTAGGAGTATTGCTTTTACTCCTTTACGGATTATCTCTTCTAATATTATTTCCAATTTTTTATGTTTACTGTGCATGGTTGAGTTGTAATATAATTTTATTGGAGGTATTGTGGTTTCTGTTCTACGTTCAGGATTATACCATCGGTCCAGGTGTCTTCTTATAGCAGCGTTTATTTCCGTGTTGCTATATCCGTTGTTCACCAATACCTGTGTTATTCTTTCAAACTCTCTATTCACGTTGCTCCATTCAGAGCAGTGGGTAAGCGCTCGACGAATATAAGCATTAAGAACACTGGCTTTGTATCTTTGGGGGCACTCACTTTTACCGTTCAGGCATAATCCTATGTTGGTAGGCTTAGTATATACGTTGGTGCTTAAAGAGGTTCCTGTTTTTGTTATTAGTACATCCAAGAATGGCAGACTGTTATTTTCACTGTTTTCATATGTAAATTCTTCAGTTATTCAATTGTTTTCTTCGCTTAAAAACAACATAATTTTTAGTGAACTCCTCTTCCAGCTGAACCCTGATGCAAGAGCATTAGTAAGAGGGATAGAAGCCCTAAATCAGAAATTAGTAAATACGGAATATGCTGTCATATTCAATGAGATATAGATATATAGATATTTCGTCTTGGTGTGGAGGATGCCAGAGTTAGGTGGCTGTTGGCCGTGTATGATCTGCTGCTGTTGTATCTGTCGGATATTTGAGTGTTGTTTATCAAGATATAACTTGCGATGATCTGGGTGTGCGATGACACCATGTGTTACATAATGGGAGACCTTTTTGTTTGTGCATTTTCTGCCGCTTTGAAAGATATGAAGTTGCCTTGGCTATATACTGAGATCGTATATTTTCCAGGCGTTTCGTTTGGTGTCGGGAGAGTTCTTCATGAACAAGGTCTTCATTAGAAAGCCCCCGCGATCTCAATATGTGTACTCACAGTATATACACTAATGTACACTCTGGTATACCAGCATGTTGAAGGCATTGAAGAAGCAACTATGCCTAAAATATCTCATGAGTGAGGCTGGGTATTGGAAGCATGCGGGTCTCAGGACCATCTAATACTAATAGGAAATCGTTGGTCTCTTTTAAAGCGTTCTGCTTTGTGTCTGGAGAGTTTCTCATGAGTAGGCTGGCCGTTTTTTTTTATAGTAAATCGTCAATTGTATCTTCTGATTTTTGTCTGTAGGGATAACGTTCCTATCAACAATATCTTTCAGGACCCTTTCCTCCATTTTATGAGCTGTGGAAAAGAAGTTCCTGTAAAATAGTCTAATAGGGGGTATAGGTGTTGTGTTAGTTGACTCTTCAGAGGTTGCATGGCGTTTCACCTTCCTTCTTATGATGTCTTCAACGAAACCATTGAAGAAGCCGTTGTTGACTAGGACCTGCCTTACCCTACAGAGTTCTTCATCGACTTGCTTCCATCCTGAGCTGTGGCTGAGAGCACGGTCGACATAAGCTTTAACGACACTCCTCTTGTACCTGTCTGGGCAGTCACTGTTGGTATTGAGGCACATTTCTATGTTTGTTTCCTTAGTGTAGACTGCAGTGTGGAAACCTCCGCTCTTTCCATGACTGTTACATCTAGAAAGGGCAGCTTCCCATCCTTCTCCATCTCGTAAGTGAAACGCAACACAGAATTCTGCTCAAATGCCTCCTTCAGCTCCTGCAGATGTCTAACATCAGGTACCTGTGTGAAAATGTCGTCAACATACCTGCAGTATATGGCCAGTTTCAAGTTCATGTCGACTAAGACCTTCTGTTTGATGGTACCCATGTAGAAGTTCGCAAACAGGACACCTAGGGGAGAACCCATGGCGACCCCATCTACTTGCTTATACATGTGCTCATCCGGGCTCAAGAAGGGTGCCTCTTTAGTACAAATTTGGAGTAGTTTCCTTAGAATGTTTTCTGGTATGTCAAGAGGAGTACAGGCCGGATCACGATACACTCTGTCCGCTATCATCCCGATCGTTTCATCAACAGGTACGTTGGTAAACAGTGATTCTACGTCCAACGAGGCCCTTATCCCTGCGGCCTGTGTTCCCCGCAGTAAATCAACAAATTCCTTTGGAGACTTCAGGCTGAAGGAGCAAGGGACATAAGGGGTCAGCAAGCCGTTGAGTCGCTTTACCAGTCTGTACGTGGGTGTGGGTATCTGGCTGATGATTGGCCGAAGTGGGTTTCCAGGCTTGTATGTCTTGACATTTCCATACGCATACCCAGGTTTGTATTCCCCAGTAATCTTTGGCAGGTGGAGTTCGGATTTCTTGGCGTTCACAGTTTCGATCAATCTGGTTAACCTTTGCTTTCAATTCGGCTGTAGTGTCCTTCGATACCCTTTGGAATTTAGTTTGGTCAGAGAGTATGAGGTTCATTTTCGCCAGATATTCGTCTTTTTTAAGAATAACGTATATTGACTACTTGTCACCTCTCCTGACGACTATCTCCTTGTTCTCACGAAGGCTCTTAGCTGCCGCTTTGAGCTCGGGGGACAGTATGGTGCTTCTGTAATTGCCTCGAATCTTTCCTCCTTCCGCAATAAGTTCTGCTTGTAAGGTATCTTTGGTGGTGACCTTCTTTTGTGTCTGGAGGTCGAATATGTCGTCCAACAGGATCTCCAACTCCACTTTCTGGGCCATCTCACTCGGTCTGGACATAACGTGACAGTTTATACCCAGTTTATACTGAGGCTCTGTCCTCAGCCCTGAGGACAGAGTTGGACTCTCTGCGGGAGGAGGTGCGTCAGCTTAAAAAACAACGAGAAGTAACGAAGGAGGAGACCAGCAGTAAAGGGACCTCGTCTTGGAGAGTTGCGAAAGACAGGGGCCTTAAGAAGACTTTGATAAAGCCGCCTTCAAACGCCATAGCAACTTCAAATTCATTTGACGTTTTGGAGGACGAGTGCTGTGGAGAGACTGTGGATCGCGCAAAAGGGAAAGCAACGAAGAGAAAGGAAGCGCAGGCCCCTCAGAAAGTAAAGGAAGTACCTAAGCAAACATTAGTTGTGGGAGATTCCCAGATAAGGTATTTGGATAGAACGTTTTGTGCTAGAGATAGGGGGAACAGGTTAAGGGTTTGCTATCCCGGAG